GGGCGTGACTCTACCCCTAACAATTGGTATCAGAGCAATTGGTTAGAGAGAAGAGATTATTAATCAAGCGGAGGATGGCGTCAACTAGCAAGATGGTTAAAGTTGGAAAATATGAGATTAACAAGTTCAATGGGAAGAAAGATTTTTCCTATTGGAGGATGCAGATGAAGAATTTGTTAATTTCGTAGAAATTACACAAGGCTTTGGCTGGAAAAGAGAAGAAGCATAAGGATATGTCTGATGAGGATTAGGAGGAGCTAGATCTGGAAGCACGAGCATCGATTATCCTATGCCTTAAGAGGGATGTAGCTTTCTTGGTAGATGGAGAGGAAATGGCTACGGGCATATGATCAAAGTTAGAGAGCACCTTCATGACGAAGAGTCTAACTATCCAGATCTATTTTAAATCTAAATTGTATACTTACAAGATGGAGGGGGCCTCATCAATCCGGGAGTACATCAACAAGTTTGATAGGATAATATCGGATCTGAAGGACATCGATGTGACTGTAGAAGATGAGGATCAGACTCTTTTACTACTTCTATCTCTACCGATGAGAACCTGGTGCAAACATTAATGCTTGTGGGAGACAATTTAACGATGGCTGAGACTAGAACGACACTTCTAGCGGATGATCTTCGGAAGATTGTAACCAGTGACATGACTACTGGTGGTAACAATGAACAAGCATAGAGATTATTTGCTAGAGGAAGGGGCAATGAGCGAGGAAAAGGCAAGTGAGGAAATGCTAGATCTAAATCAAGTCCTCTTGCGGGAAGACCATGTTTCAAATGCGGTAAAGTTAGGAATTTCAAGGTCGTCTATTCAAATAAGAGAGTAGGTGGGAAGAAGAACAACAACAAGACTGAAAGGAGAGAAGGCAAGGAAGAAGCGAGCTATGTTTCAGAAGAAGGGAACGAGAAGGAATGCTATGTCATCATGGGTAGCGAGGATATCTCCGAAAAGTGGGTTCTTAATTCAGGTTGCTCTTACCACATGTGCCCAAATTGGAAGTGATTTACTACCTACAGAAGCATTAATGGTGGAACCATATTAATGGGAACAACTATGCTTGTAAATCGGTGGGGCTAGGTAATATCAAGATTAAGATGTATGATGGAGTGGTCCGAACCATAACGAATGTGAGGCATGTTCCCGACTTGCGGAAGAATCTTATCTCAGTTGATGCTTTAGACTCTGGTGGCTACAAGATAGTTATAGAGAACGGAGTGAAGAAGGTTGTTCAAGGTTCCCTAATAGTGATGAAGGGTGTTCGTCCTGGTAATCTATATACTCTCTCGGGTATGACGATGATAGGGAATACAGTAGTTGAAACTGATGGAAGTGATGGAGACCCATGTGAGCACACATGGTTATGGAATAGGCGGCTTGGGCACATGTTAGAAAAGGGTCTAGATCTACTTGGTAAAGAGGGTTTGCTAAAGAATATGAAGAAACCTTGCATGGATTTTTATGAGGATTGTGTGTACGGAAAGGCGCACAGGGTCTAGTTTCTGAGAAGCAAGCATAAGAGCAGATGTATATTAGATTATGAGCACAAAGATGTGTGGGGTCCGGCTCAGACAACTTCCAAGGGTGGTTCCAGATATTTTATCTCGTTCATAGATGATTTTTCTAGGTATGCTTGGATTTATTTTCTGAAGCATAAGAATGAGGTGTTCGAGACATTCAAGAAATGGAAGGTAATGTTTGAGAACAGGACATGAAAGAAATTAAAGACACTAAGATCTGACAATGATACAAAGTATACAGATGATGATTTCAAGGAGTTCTGTGATCAGAAGGGCATTGCTAGACACTAGACAGTCAGATCTACACCATAACAGAATGGAGTCGCAGAAAGGGTGAATTGAACATTACGGGAGAAAGCAATGAGTATGTGATCATATGCTGGATTGAGCAAAGAATGGTGGACAGAAGCGATGGCTGTAGCTTGTTACATTATGAACCGTTCTCCACATTCGACATTGGATGGTGATACACCTTATAGGGTGTGGTCAGCAGAGCATGCAGATTATGATAGGCTCAGGATTTTTGGGTGTACCACCTACTATCACGTCAACGAGGGAAAGCTTGACGTGAGGGCCAAGAAGGTAATATTCTTGGGGTATACAAAGGGTGTAAAAGGATACCGTCTTTGGTGTATAGAAGATTCGATGTTCGTGATCAGCAGAGATGTTACCTTTGATGAGAAATTCATGATTGCTAAGACACCCAAAGATGACGGTGTTAGGACTTCAAAGTCCTAGGTTATTGAGATAGAACCTAAAGACCAACCAGGTTCTAGTCATGTTCAAGTGGGAAATCAGGTAGATGATGAGCTTGAGCAGGAGGAGGTTCAACAGGAGAATACACAAGCACTACAACAATAACAGCTCGAGGATAGTTTGGCTTCCACTAGGCCAAGGCGAGCATACAAGCATGTACTAAAACTGGGATGTGATAAACCCCTGAAGCACTATGGGCAGGTTAATTTGGTTGAATACATACTCTCGATGGAGGATGATGATCCGATCACCTTCAAGAAAGCTATTCGGAATAGAGATAGTGAGAGTTGGTTGGCTGCAATGGAGAAGGAGATGGAATTTCTCCGGAAAAACCAAACATAGAAGGTGGTCCCATTACCCGTAGGGAAAAAAGCTATTGGTTGTAAGTGGGTATACAAAAAAAAGGAGGATCATTCAGAGCTCGATGGTATAAGGTACAAGGCTAGACTAGTAGCTAAGGGGTTTGCACGATGTGAGGGTGTGGATTATAATGAGATCTTTTCTCCGATGGTGAAATACACTTTTATTCGGGTGCTATTGAGTATTGTTGCTTATGGTGATCTTGAGCCGGAGCAAGTTGATGTCAAAACGGTCTTCTTGCATGGAGATTTGGATGAAGAGATCTATATGCATCAACCTGAAGGCTACAAGGTTGAGGATAAAGAGCATCATGTATGTTGCTTGAGGAAGTTAATTTATGGATTGAAGCAATCTCCTCGACAATGGTACAAGCGATTTGACTCATTCATACTGAAGCATGGGTTTCCAGAAGTGACTATGATTGTTGTGTCTATATTCAGAAGCTTCGTAGAGGTGATTATATCTATCTTTTTTGTATGTGGATAACATGCTTATTGCTTCGAGAAGCAAAGTGGAGATAGATAGGCTAAAATCTCAACTTGGTAAAGAGTTTAAGATGAAGGATATGAGTGCTGCTAAGAAAATACTGGGTATAGAAATTAGAAGAGAGCGTGCAAATCGACGATTGTTTTTGAGTCAGAAGGGTTACATTGATCGGGTTATCGCAAGGTTTGGGATGCGAAGTGCTAAGTCGGTGGTGACTCCATTGGCTCCACACTTCAGGTTCTCAGGTAAACAATCTCCCACTACAGCGAAAGAGAAGGCACACATGGAGCGTGTACCTTATGCTAGTATAGTTGGTAGTTTAATGTAGGCAATGGTGTGTACACGTCCAGATGTTTTACAAGCGGTCAGTGTCGTCAGTAGGTTCATGGCGAATCCTAGAAAGGCGTATTGAGAAGCAGTGAAATGGGTCTTGAGGTACATGATGGGTACCATTGATACGGGTCTATGCTTTGGTAGAGATACATGTCAGATTGATGGGTTTGTGGACTCAGATTATACGGGAGATCTAGATAGACAGCGATCTACTACTGCTTATGTATTCAGGATACATGGGGCTCCAGTTAGTTAGCGATCAATGTTGCAGGCTACAGTGATACTTTCTACTACAGAGGCCGAGTACATGGCCATGGTGGAGGGAGTACATGAAGCATTGTGGTTGTGGGGTCTTCTAGACGATTTGGGGATTGAGGAGGAGAACGTGAACTTGTGGTGCGATAGTTAAAGTGTGATTCACTTGGCGAAGAATCAAGTTTATTATGTTCGTACCAAGCATATCGATGTTAGGTATCATTTCGTACGAGATGTCATAGAGGAAGGCGATATTTCTCTCATGAATGTGCATACGAATGAGAATCTCGTAGAGATGTTAACCAATGTGGTCATATGTAGCAAGTTTAAGTATTGCTTGGACTTGGTTCATATCAGCCCGTGTTGAAATGCCCAAGAGGGCATGGCCCTTCGGGGCGGTGATGGGGTGAGGTGGAGACATAATTATATGGAGAACAATATGCATAACTACGATTAGCTTGATCCGAGTCAGAGGGTACGTAGACAGCCATGGTATAATGGTGTAGCTGGTTTTAGCCTGGTTTAATATTTCAGATCTCTCTGGTGATGTTCACGGTGTTCTTCTGGTATTCGTCCAAAAATTGAGGTTTATCAAATGATGTACGAGATGGAGAATTATGAACAGCGGGGGCCACACCCACGTGAACAGCGAGACACAATTGGTGTCCCGCCACCCTCCCACGTGAGATGGCCGCGGGATTTTTCAGAAGCTGGGTTCGGGTTGTTTTTAGGGCCATGTTCTCTTCCTATAAATAGGAGTATTCTTCTAGGGTTTTTTAGATGAGAAGAAAATAAGAGTTTCTTTGGCGGCTAGAAAAGAGAGATCTTGAGCAGAGAGCTATGGAGAGATTTTACAAGAGAGAGGTCAATTTTTTGGGTAAAAATCAAATCTTCTTCTTTTGAGACGAGCTTATGGATTGTACAAGTCGTCGGTGTTCTCCTCATAGTGGAATCTCCTCTTCCCCTTCCCCGTGGACGTAAGCAAGTTTGTCGAACCACGTAAATCTTGTGTCTTTACTATTTTCTGGGTGTTGACTATTGCTTGTACGTTCACTCGACAATTCAGTCTTAGAACTGGTGAGAGGAAGAGTGTATATCTCACTTTGTTGAAACATTTCACTTCTGTGTTCTTGTTTCCTTAGCGAAATAAGAACATAGAGGTTGGCTTGAGCTTTTGTGAAAAAAAGTCAGGGTTTTTTCTCGGGTGATATCGCTTCCGCAGTGTGAGGACGTGACTCTGCCCCCAACAAAGCAAATAGTGAGACATGATATCAAGCAAAATACATAACAGGCTTTATAAAAGGGGTACAACTCCATCTCACTGACAAAGTCCCTCACCAGACAATAATAAAAGTACTAGGTATTCATCTTTCAAATACCCCATTATTAATAGAACAAAAAAAAATTATGTACAGTACATACGTAGACTGTATTTTATGCTCATCTCCCTCTCGCCAGCATCTCTTGAACCTCCTTCTCTTGATACTCAATCAAAGCAATCCGACTCTGCGCCCTCAACTGCTCATAAAACCTCTTTATAAACTCTTCGGCCTCATCATCAACTTGTGCATCCCCACAACCACTCTCCTCCTCTGCAGAGAAATTCGATATTCTCACCGAGAATGGCGATCTGAATGGCGATCTGTCGTGAGACAGGGCAAAGCACAGTGGCGACGGTAAGGGCGAGTATTCGATCCTGGGCACAGTGCAGGCGGCCCTCGGCGTCTCATCCTCGACGATAGGATTGAAGCAGGGGAAGTAGCGGCGCTTGGAGTGGGAGAACGCGGGGTTGGGGCTGTTGGTGCAGGAGAACTCGTATTCTTGGAGGATGAAGGGCGAGGAAGTTCGATGGTGGTGGTGGTGGAAGTGGAGATTCTTGCCGAGGTTCTTGCTCATGAGTTTGCCTCTCTTCATCATCAAGTTCATGTCCATTAGTAGCTTGCGCTTCGAGATGAGGCCTTTTCTCATCATGAAGAAGGCGATTCGGAGGAGGTTCCATAGTCTTTTGGCTGCTCTCGGGGAGTGAAGCTCCATTGGAGATGTGTGTGAGAGAGAGAGAGAGAGAGAGAGAGAGAGAGAGAGAGAGAGAGAGAGAGAGAGAGAGAGAGAGGTTAGAGAAAACCTAGCAATGTGATAATAGATGAGAGGCGTTGTTAGGGACTTGAAGGTTATTTATAGCACGAAAGGAAGATTGAGGAGTGGAGGAAAGTATTCTATTTATTATTTTAATACCCCTATTTAAATAGCAGTATGTTCACATTGATGATAGGATAATTAGTACTTAAATACCCTATAATTTCTCCTAGTTTGCAATTATATATCCTCACCTGTTTCAAGCCGCACTCATATTATCTCATATCTCAAGTCTCCAAAAATTAACATCCTTTGCTATGCAAAAGTGAGATTTTTTTAGGATTTTTTCATCTGACACTCTTTAATAAGGTAATTTTAGAACATTATAATCTTTAATGTTTAAAATTTAATGTTAAACTTATATATAGAAAAAACAAAGGCTTTAGGGGTTGTTTGGTTAGGGTGGTTTTAGGTGGTGTGATACTGTAGCTGTCAGATTGCTACAACATAACATTAAAAAAGAGTGTTTATTTAGACAAAGTGAGATCTGATGTGACATGATAAAAATTGAATTGTTAGCCTCTTGTTAATTCCTGTAGGAAGCGATATTTTAGGGTGTTTTATTGTAGTTACCAGGCTACGGTGTACCACTCAATTCCGTATTACATTAGCAATCCCGTGAATTACGTGAAAAAAGCCAAACAGCCCCTTAATGGAGAAGAGAAAGGAGAAGGTAGGGAGGATCGTGGGGCCGCATTGATTTGCGTGAAAAGGACAGGGTCGTGTAGCAACAACCGCACATAGAGAAGAGAGAAGAAAATTTTGAAATGAAGTTTGATATCGTATTAGTTTAACTTTCAAATTGGAGTTTGAATTTAATCATGAGTACAGTTAAGGACTAGTCGGTAGGTGTTCGTAATACGATGGTAGTTTGCATCTCTTTGGCGTGTAGAGAGCTTGTGTATTGGTCAAGGCTGCATCCAACAAAATACTAGGCTTAAGCGTCTTAACATTAACAAGACTATTAATATATGAATCAGGAGATGCTTTGCTGGCTTTATTCATTATTTACTAAGATAGGGATGTAAACTGAGTCAGATTATGAGAAAAGCTTCTCATATTCATTTGGTTTCAAGTAAATATAATGTACATAAAAAAACATGATGCTACGTATACAATTATAAATTTCACATAAATAGAGTATATATGATAGAAAGTTAGAAATATAGTCAATGATCCAGAAAATTTATCTTGGAAAGCGGACAACAAGGGTGTTGGATAAAATTAAATAAAGTTATAATATGCAAAATCCGAAATTAAAGAAAATCAAAAAATCTGGCTTGATCGGGAGCGGTCGTGTAAACACTGTCCTAGAAGATTGAGGACCCGCCTATCGTCTTGACACAGGTGATCCTCTCTCTCCTAACGGCAAAAACACCCGGAATCGACCGGCCTCTAAACTCGGGCGAGAGTGCAGAGCTTCTGCTCAGATGAAGAAGGTTGCCTCAAAAGAGAAAATTAAGTAACCAAGAATTTTAGAGAGAAATATTTTCTGAAAGTAGTAGAGAGAAGAGAGGAGAGAACTTTCGTTTTCTGTGCCTTTTCCAAGAATGAGAGGGCTAGTATTTATAGGGTCTCAACCCTCAGAACCGTTGCTCAAAATTCACGCACGTTGCTCACAAATCGCGCACCCGTTACCTGCATGCAACCGTTATCTACATGCAGCCATTACGTACGTTGTTAAATACCGAGTCAAAAAACGTGTAAAACGTGCAAAATTTCTTCTATATGTCACCGTAATGGATAAGTAGATATGAATATAATAAGTATTATATCCAAGGGAAAATTGCTTCTATCCCCCAAAACCAATATACAAGTGTTCCTCCCCCACCCCCAAGACTTTGTGAACGGTCCCAAAGCCCCCCAAAACCATCCCAAAATTCCTTTAGCCCCCAAAACCTTTCTCCACGTGACCCGATGTGTACAAATAAAAAAATTTCCCTAAAATGCCCTCTTGCAGTCTGTCACTCTATCAAGCCTGTTATCGGAGAGTGAACAGTACTACTGTAGGTATTCAATAGTGATTAGAATGTGGTTTTGGAGGGAAAAAACTCACACTTCCCTCCAAATTCTAACCATTTCCTCTCCTCCCCGCAGGAAATCCATCTCTTCCCCCTTTGCTTACCCCAACTACTCTCTCCTGGCCACTTAATTCCCCTCAATAAATTCTCTTTGATTCTTCAACTACTTTTCTTTAAAATGACGGATGAATCCCTTCTTTGCATGGTTACAAACACAAAAAGTAACGAAGAGGGTGAGGGCGTCTTCGTAGTTATCAACGAGTCTACAAAAATCATTAGCTTAAAATATCAAGTGTCCTATAGGTTTAAACTACCATTGCAATCTCTTTTACCGAAATTCATATCCGAAAGGGAAAAGAAGTTTAGTTTTTTAATTGATAATAACAAGGACTTGAGGTTGATGTTCAAGTATTATCGTCGTAATGGATTTACAGACATAAACTTATATGCTACCTCCGCTGGGGAATCCTTAACTTCTCAGAACACCCTAACTTCTCCAGAAAATGTGCAAGTATTTCACTTTTAATTTCCGTATGAGCTTGTTGATAGGTTATGAGTTGGTTGTTAACCTTATGCATTTGTTGCAGAGGTTATAAGTTGGTTGTCAAGATTATTAGTTGGTTGTTAAGCTTATGAGTTGGTTATCAATCTTTATGAGATAGTTTTAAGTTAGTTGCTAAGGTTATAAGTTCGTTGTTAAGTTAAGAGTTGGTTGATAAGGTTATGAGTTTGTTGTTAAGGTTATAAGTTTGTTGCTAATGTTATGTGTTGGTTGTTAAGGTTAAGGCTTGGTTGTTAAGGTTATGGATTGATTGTTAACATTAGCAGATATTTGTGAGTTTTTGTTAGCCTTATGCTCTGGTTGCTAAGGTTATGGTTGGCTGTTAAGTATTAATGTATTTTTTTACTTTTACAGGACTATCCCGACAAAAAATTCGTGATGCGTAGCTGCTACACTCACCCAAACATGTAATGGTGAGCGTATTCCTAATAACAATTTCACTGGCGATTCGATCATGTTGATGGAAGATATGATTAACAACCAAACCAAGATCCCAGCTGACTAGCACATAGCCATACGTGAAAATTAGAAATTTGATAGTGCTGCTGATGTTAGATTTACACTTCAATACTACTCAATTGCGAAAAGGTTCGAGTATGATTTTTACCATAATGAACAAAGACATATAAGAGTCCATTGCCGATTCAGTGACACGCTGGATTGCCCTTGGATGTTGTTTGCTTCCCCACTCGGAAATTCCTCAATTATGTCTATAATGAATTTCTTTTCTACCCACACTTTCGATCAACACAAAGCTAATGCTGGCAACTCAAGGGCATCAAGAAAGTTTATTGCAAGCCAAATACAATCTGTTTTAAAGGTTAGACCAGATCTTCATCCAATTGATATCAGGAACGACTTGCTCTTACATTATGGCATCAAGATTAACTACTGTAAAGCGTGAAAAAGCAAATAGAGAGCACAACAGGACCTGTTTGGTAACGATGATGAGGCTTACGATTCACTAAGATGATAAATTCTTTTATTCTCTTTTTTTAGTTGTTAGGGTTATGTATTGATTGCTAACCTTATATTTTAGTTATTAAGGTTATGTATTGGTTGCTAACCTTATGTTTTGGTTATTAAGGTTATGTGTTGGTTATTAATGTTATGGATTGGTTGTTAAAATTATGATTTGGTTGTTAAGGTTATGGGTTAGTTGTTAGAACTATCAGTTGGTTATTAGGTTTATGTGTTTATTGTTAAGTTTATCTGTTGGTTGTTACGGTTATGAGTTTGTTATGAAGGTTATGAATTAGTTGCTAAGGTTACCGCTTTGTTGTTATATTTATATAGATATGAAGCCATGGTTCTAGCAACTAATCCAGGAAGCTGTGTTGCTATTGATGCTAATAACGGAAGGTTTAGGCGTTTGTTCATAAGTTATAGTGTATGTATTGAAGGGTTCAATGCTAGATGTAGGCCTCTCTTATTTTTGGATGGAATATTTCTTAAAGACCACTATAGAGGTATACTACTAAGTGCCAAAGGATCTGACGACAACCAAGGAATATTTTCTCTTGCTTATTGCGTATGCGACCAGAAGAATGAGGATAATTAGAAATGATTCTTACAAGGAGTGTGGATAATACTATATGATAGAGAACAACCTTACAATCCTCCACATCTACGGGTAATGATTTTTTGATGCCGACAAGGGTATTAGGGTAGCAGTTGAGGAATTCTTTCCAGATTTTTTCCATTCAAGGTGTGTTGTGCATCTAGTTGAGAATTTTAAAAAAAATGAAGGAGTTGGGTCGTAAGACAAATGTCGCTCAAATTTTGGGTGATTTATTACAAACCACGACTTATAAGTACACAATTTCTGAATGGAATCATTACATGTAAGAATTAACATCGATTAATCAAAAATCTTATGTTACTACAATGGAATACTCCCTAGAGAGATGGGCAAATGCTTATTTCCCTGGTATACGGTATGATAACATTGTTTAAACTTTATTTGTTAAGGCTATATTTTAGTTGTTAAGGTTACAATAAGTCTACAGATTTGTTGTTAAGGTTAGACTTTGATTGTTAAGGGTACAATTTTGTTGTTAAGGTTACTATTTTGTTGTTACGTCTACAAATTTATTGTTAAGGTTAGGTTTTGGTTGTTAAGGTTAGAGTTTTGTTGTTAAGTTTACATTTTCATTGTCAAGGTTAGGTTTTGCTTGCTAAGCTTAGAGTTTTATTATTAAGTTTACCGTTTCGTTGTTAAGGTTAGAGTTTTTTTTTTGTTAAGTTTACCATTTCATTGTTAAGGTTAGATGTTGGTTGTTAATGTTACAGGCAAACTTATAAATTTTTTATGTAATTTACAGGTATGGTCATGTTACTTCGAATGTTGCTAAGTCCTTCAACAAATAG